GGGCATAACTATGAGAAAGCTACTTATTGATTACCGGCATATGCGTTGAGTCCATAAAAACCATAAAAAACAAGGCTCGATAAAATAAATATGTAATAACTCAAAAGAGAACCAAAAGTTGACGGTTGACCTGTTTTCTCAGGCAAGGAAAGCCAGCTTCCATGGCCATGTTGCTGAATGTAGGCTAAGAGTTTCTGGTCCTCTCCAGGTGTCTAGGGTCATCTGTTCAAGCCGTTGGCGTCGCTAGCTGTATGGGGACCTTCTCATTTTTATGCTAAAAAGTAAAAGAAATTTTGTGAAGATGACTCAAACTTTGAAAGTGAGTCATACTGATGATTGTGGGATAAGTGACACATCAGTAGTATTTATAGGGCAATGAAATTGATTGTTTACTCAATTCCATGATTTGATATTACCTTAATACCCTTTTATTTTATCCAAATATATATGAATTTATAATCTTCTTATAACATACATAATCTGCTTTTAATATTCAAATTAATTAATTAAGAGTCAGATAAAAATGATCATAAGAATATGATCAATAAACCAATATAAGAAAATTCTTAGGTGCAAATGTCTTAAGTTTTGAATATATAGATCAAAAGTGACCGGTTGTCACTTGCTTTACATTTTGTATTTTGATTAAAAGTGTCCGAACTAGCTTACGCACACCTCAACTAATCTTCCGAGACCCTAAAACTATCTGTCAGGTTAGAGTCCAATGGCTACCTCTAATAACAATCGAGGAAGGACTCGAATACAGGATCTCTTGAATAATACACACAAGAGTAGTTTAAATGAACATTTATCACACCATGCTTATTAATTATGTTAATTATTATTTCCTCTGCATTGCTTCATCTCTACGATGAAGTCATCTAAATTAAGTATGAATGTGATGATTTAATTAATGTTATAACTTTAAGCCCTTCGATAAAGTGCTAATCTTCAACGAATTTTATATTTTAACTTGTCTTTACGTTAGTTTATACTTATTAAAAGAAATTAAGAAAAAAAAAAAAAAAAAAACTCATCAAGGTTTGAGCTTGACAATTGACATGTGTTCTTTTGTATTCATATTTCATACTGTGATAGTATGCGTGAATATAAGAGAATAATAACAATAAAAACAGATTTTAGTGACGAATTATTTGATAAATAATAGCTTTTACCAAATTTTTTAGTTAGGTAATGTCAATTTGATTTTATAATTAATTACGATAAAGGAATCTATTCAATACACATCCCTTGTTCTGTAGGCATGTTGATTGAGATATTATCTCACTAAAAACATAAAAGTTGATAGGAATTTCAAATTTACTTCTATATAAGAGGAAAATAATGAGGTGGAAAGCATGTGAGATGTTTCTTGCAAATTCTAGAAGCACGTTAAACAAAACACATCATCAAATCAACTTTCCCCATATGTTCAATTAGATTCTAGTTTTCTTCACTTCCCTTCTTCTTTACACATATGTTGATTGAGATTGAGACAGAAACCACGTGAAATTTCCCAGTCAAATTAAGGAGAATTGATTTTTCTTTAGACAATATTCTCGGTAGGTAATCTATATATGCTTTGTCTATTTTATTTAACAATTAAAAAAAATATTAACTAAGTGATCTCCCAGCCAAATTAATAAGATGAAGAGACCCATACGAATCAATATGATAGTGCTATCTAAAATCATACAATAATCAAATATATATATTTTTTTTAGTGGTGGCTAATTTTTTTTTTTTTTAATAATAAAGTTGTCAATTGGAAAACCTTGAAAACAAATTCAATAACTTGTGGATCCAAATCTTTGAATAATTTGGTCAAATGAATTGAATTTAAAGTTCAATATTTCCTCTTATATATAGAAGACTAATTAATTAAAATTCTTTAATGTTTGTACTAATAATGTTAATTGATGGATATATGTTGACGAAAGATTCGCATAGAAAAAATCAAACCAAATATTATAGATATAATTATAATTATTATGTCCTAAGAAAGTAGCGTTGGAGTAAGATTTAAGTTATGATATAATTCATGCAACATTTCTTAACAAATAAACTTTAGTTTTAACACGTTTAATGCTATTTAGGGTATTAAAAGCTTATGAATAATTTCTTAATGCTATTTAGGGTATTCAAAGCTTATGAATAATTTCAGCTCAACAAGTTAGGTTGTTTATTTTCATGGTCACCTAAATAAAGCAAATATGAATATCTGATTACAAAGAAACAAGTATAAAGTATATGTATTTGTTAAAACTAGACAAGAATCAGTCTGAAAAACCAAAGTTTTAGAATCCAAATCTTTAAAAATATCAATTTCATTTATTGAGTCAATAACTACAATTATTATTTGATAACAATACCATGAAATCTCATGCAGTTTCATTCACAATCTCAATCAACATATAAATAAGAGAAGACTAGAATTTAATTGATGTGATTCTGTACGAATTCATTTTTACTCGGCCCTTTTCCCCTTGTGAGTCAATTTTTTTTACCAATCCCAATGTAGCAAAACAATTAAGATTGTAATTGAAGCAAAGAATTTCATATTATCACCCTTAAAAAATCTTTTCACATCTCCGACTAAGCACATCATTCCACTTCTTACCCCTGCTTTTCCCTCAACCCCAGCATTCTCCTTTGCACCAAAATGGTTATTGGTTTACCAGAGAATTTCGTAAAATAATCTTGAAAGGTTGCATAGAGTAGCCATGGCCAGTCTTTTATATGAGCAAAGAATAAACGACTGCGGTAGGTGGGGAGGAATTAAATACAATCAGCTAATCTTAAAATTTTATCATGTACCAATTATTAGTTGACACGTAGTGAAATTATGGGGAAATTAGTCATTAAGAGCATTCAATTCAAAGGTTGACGAATAACGAATTCATGCAGCGTGTAGAAAAAGAAAAGGAGTAAGATAGAGAAGGTGGGAGAACCAGGTGATGACGCAAGTAGGGAATGTGGCCGTTGATAGAGCGACACGTGTGGAACAGAAGCGAAGGAGGTGTTGACACGTGGGTGGGACTGTGGTGGGAGATGTGTAGATGTGGGGTCGAGATGTTGGTTCCTTGATCCATCTTGCATTCCATGTTTTCTACCTATCTTTATTTTCCAATCTTCCAATTTTATTTCTTTTTTCCTTCCATTCAGAGATTTGGATCCACAAGTCATTGAATTTGAAGTGCAATATTTCCTCTTATATACAGCAGACTAATTAATTCAAATTCTTTAAAATTTGTACTAATAATGTTAATTAATGTATATATGTTAACTAAATATTCGCATACAAAAACTATAGATATCTTATTTAGGACCTCATATTCAATTCCAGTTTTGCTAATCTTATGACTTTAAAAAATTCTTTTATAAGAAAGTAAAATTGGAGTGAGGTTTAAGTTATAACATAATTCATACAACATTTCTTAAATAATAGGTTTTAGTTTTAATACGTTTAGTTATAATTAGGGTATTGAAATATGTAAAATTTAAAACTTATAGTTTTTTCTTTTTAAGTATTTGAAATATCCAAACCCACATTAAACTTGAATTTTAGAAGAAAGCGATTAGCATGCATTCAACGACATTCACTACTCACATCCAAAGGCCCAATCTGATCATATCATTGAAAAAAATCCTTAATATATAATTAATAATTAATTAATTATATATTCACCTATCAATCACTTCTCATTTTATAAATTATATAATTAATTTCTGGATCAATCATAATATACGTAAGTCCATTATGACTTTTTTAACATGTAATTAAGATACCAATTAAAAATGTTGTAGACAATAAATAATAACCACATATATATATATATATTATATATATATATATAATATATATATATATATATATATTTATATATATATATACAAAAATGATTGATATATTTGATTTTAGATGTCAGATATTTTTCAGTAGTTACCATATATATATATATATATTCTGTATGTATAATATATATACTAATCTTTAATGGAGACGTGTTGGCATAACACTTCTCTTAAGAAGGAAACATTTAACTCGTTAACTTATTTCTTGTATGAGTCATTTCTTGATACATTATTTTCTGCGCACATGGTGGACCAGACAACTTTACACATCGATCCAACCAGTGTATCAATTCTTTTGTAGCTTTGCTAAGACGTTTCACAGCCTCAGATCTATAGTGTCATCATATATTTCATAGTAAAAGCAATATTCTCTATTTTCCAAATTGCCAATTAATTCTAAATTTAGCTACCCTAATCTATTTTCCATTCTGCTATGACAACTACATTATACTTATCGATCCCTTCTCAAATTATAAATAATAAAGTCTCACATTATTAACCTGGACAATGGTCGGTTTGGAAAGCTAAAGTTTTATAATCCAAATCTTTGAAAATATCAATTTCATTTATCGAGTCAATATCTACAATTATTCTTTGATAACGAAACCATAAAATCTTAAGCAATTTCACTCTCAAACTCAATCAACATATACTATAATTTAATTGATGCGTTATGTACGTGTGAATTCATATTCACTAGGCCATTTTTCTTTCCATCCGCCAACCTCTGTCCTGCAAGCAAGTGACCTCCAGAAATTGACTACAATTTTTTTCCCGATCTGAGTCAATTTTTTTTCCCAAACTAGCAAAAAATCTAATGAAAAGCATCAGAAGATATCAAGTCATAACTGGTGACTGTGAGTTACACCATAAACGTGAAACTGATTTGTCTAACGGGCACAGATAAATAATTGTGGCCTTAGCCTTTTCCTTTTGGCAGATGATAAATTCCCCAGTTAGTAGAGAAGAAGTTAGGCATTCATCACATCACTCAACAACATTCAAGAACTCTTTTTCTTTCTATTTTCTCACCCTTTTTCTACAGCTTATCACGAGTGAGCTGTAACCAGCTGCTGCAAGCCCATGCTTACTGCAATTTTCAGTTTTATTTAAACTTTTTGACTATAAAAACTAAAAAGTATTGCTGGAAGGGACCAAATAAAATATCATAAACACAACACTAAATCTGCAACACTTTCCTTGCAAAACTTTCCATATCTCCAGCCATTTTCTTGAGCTCTTGATTTCTTCATGCTTCGAAGAAAGAAGAAAATCTGTTTCTTAAGATGGTGTGGCTACCAAATCCTCATCTATCCTTCAATCTTCCTTTTTGAGGTACTCCCTTCGCTTTCTTACTTCATACATATATAATTTTTTCATCACAAGAGCATATGCTTCCATGTTTGATTTATTAGTATTCTTTATCTCCATCGCTGCCATTTCTTGCTCTCCTCATTTGTTCACGTTTGATTTATATCCATTTGTTCTGTTTGTTTAGGCTGCTAGTTTTGGTAAAACAAACATTGAACCAACGGCGTATTCGGTAACTCAACAACTATACCTTTCAGTAATCTATTTAAGATATCTTTTTCTTTATTCTGATTCTGAGTTTAACAAATTTTCAGGGAGTTTTATTGGGTAATTGTTAAGGAATGGGAGGAGTTGGCAAGATAATTTTACAGGTAAATATTTATAACAAATTTTCAAACTCATATATATTAATTTCTCCTTTTACCCTTTTAATGTCAATTGAGTTCCAGTTCTTTGGTGATAAAGACTTTCCTTTTTCTGTGTTAAGATACAGCATGCAATTTCAATTTGCTCGTATTGAAAGCTGGTGGTGGTTCCACTAAAAGTGTTTAGCTAAACAAAGGAGCTCACGGGAAGAGAAAATGGGGGTATAATTATAGCCCAATTTAAGAAATATTCAAAAGGGCATTGAAAAATGATTATTGAACTCGATGAACACAAGACAGGCGCATACAAATATGAAGAATGATGTGAACTCGCGCGATGAACGCACGATGGGCTGGACAAATGCTTTATCAATGTCAGATTTCATTCCGCGTTAAGGCAAACATGAGTCAACTTCAACATAATTACACGTCTACCACATTCCTATTCATGGTAATTAATTCTCTTTAAGAAAGTCACCTCTAGTGGTGTTGAACAACTGGCTGGCCATCGTTTTTCTAACGCCTTAGTTATCTTCCCCAAGCCTTTCACGTTTCTTACTTTTGCTGTGATGTTATGCTACTTTCATATAATCTGACGGTTGAAGTAGGTCCGGTTCGGGTTCATGTGATCTAACCGTCGATTTGGGTTCAATACTTTTAAACTCTTCATGTGGCTCATAAATATTTGTTTCTCCTTTGACCCTTTTAATGTCAATTGAATTCCACTTTCCTTTTCTCTCTTAAGATACAGCTTGCAATTTCAATTTCATTGTATTGAAAGCTGGTGCTGGTTCCACTAAAAATGTTTGGCTAAATAAGGGAGCTCACGAGCAGAGAAATGGCGTTTGTTTGGGGTATAATTAATTATAGCCCGATTTAAGAAATATTCGAAAGGGCATTGAAAAATGATTCCACCTCAGTGCGGCCTGTTCTGGTGTAGTTTTCACCTTTGGCTAATGAAAATATTTGATTGTGAACGTTCAAGAAAAAGCAAAAGCCTATTTTATTTTGGATGCTTTTGTGTTTGAGAACTGAATACTGCAAGAATTTATTGGATATAATAACGTTACTTGTACTTTGCTTTTTCATGTGGGAGGTTCAAAAATATTTTTGTGATTAATGTCAGTCATCAACCAAGCTAACCTTCCCACAGGTGATGCTCCTGTCAAGATCCAACTGCAACGCCAAGTATACAAGGCCAAATTTAAAAAAATTAAAACTCAGTAAATGGAAGAGGCCATTCTTTAAAGTTTGTACTAATAATGTTAATTGGTGTATATATGTTAACGACAGATATCAATTTAATTTATTGATTGAATATTGACAATTATTCTTTAATAATAAAACCATGAAAGCTCACACAGTTTCACTCTCAACCTGAAGCGTAAACTGATACCGAGTATGCTTAAGCACATGCATTGAAATCTGTCGAATCACTTTTCCAAGACGGATGCACCAATGAAGTGCAGAATTAGAAACTTGAGCATAGTGAAACTAAATTCCACTCAACATGTGACTATTTCATATAATTAGAAATTCATTTCCATTCACTTAATAAATTTTTTTTAGCATAAATTTTTACTCAATTTGTTTTAGGATCGGTTTGGTACGTACGCCTTATATGCAATTAAAGTTGAGGGTATAAAAGAAGGAAAAATTTTAGGTAGAGTTGGGTTTACCACCTCGTTTGCATATCTCTATCCGATAAAATTTTATCACGTATGCATTTGGCAATGTTATTGGTTGGGGTCTAATACCCATAAATCTTGAGGATACGAACGAGAGCACAAAAACTCAACCTTGGCATGACCCAAGATTGATTAATAATTAATATTTTTTTATTGGCAAATTAAAAAAAAAACACCCCATGTTACTATAAACTTCAAACATTCTTATTAGGCAAATTTCAAGAAGGAAACATTCTTATTAAAGTATTTACGTAAAGGAGTGGTTCTTAAATGAATTGGCTCTTGTAATTGGTCATCTTGTAAATCAAATTAGATGTGTATTTTAATATATAAAATTAATTATTTATAAATTTGTAGAAATATATATGAATAGAAAAGAAGAGAGACAGCATTATTGATGTTTGGCCATTCCTTTTTTTAGAAAGGGAGAACGAGGTCTGAAATAAAAATCCTATTCATCCCTTTCCTTTTCCGATAAGCAGAAAGATGAGATAAGATTTGTCCAATTGTAAACCTTCTTTCCATGTCATAATTTGATGAAAACGGAATTTTAATATCAACCCATCAACAATAAAAAAAAAAAGAAAAAAAGAAAGTGTACATGTCTTTATTTTCTGACGATTCCTTGTGCAACTGAAAATTATGTCCCTTCTCTTTAGTAAAGGTAATACTAAATTTAGTTCTAGTCTCCTAACTAGAGAGAAGATGCTAATAAGCACAGTCCAAGCCCAGTTATATATCCTCACTTAACATTTGAATATATTGGATGGAATAGATTTATTGGCTCAGATATACTTCCTAGTAATAATATATGTTAATGTAGTGCATGATTTTCCTGCAGTCCGATTCGCGCCAACTATCCAGAAACCATGCCAAGATCGAGCAACCAGGATCGTCCATGTGTCGCTCGACCCTAAGTATGATTGTTCTGACTTAAGTGTGGGAGAGGATTGACCCAGATCCAGATTACGGGAGATTACGCATGTAATACACCCTGTAGTCTACCAAATTTCAACCATTGTATGAAAGCTTGTATAAAAGGGGGACTCTACCTCCAATCAAAGGATCTGAAAAAAGGGAAAACAAGAGAACAACCCCCTTAAGACGGAGAGAAAAGCCCGCTTAGTAAAGTAATTCTAGCTTGCTGAAGCATGATTGACTCTCCTCTGTAATATTTCGCTTATAATCGCCCTCTTCACAATTCAAAGTAATAACATAACAGTGGATGTAGGTTTGGTCTTAACCCACTGAACTATTTTAAAAATTGTCTTATGTTCTTATGATTTGGTTTACTTTCATATACTTACTGATTTTCATTAATCACACGCACATCCTACCCAATCTTACCATGGTCGATTGAACATCTCTAGTTGTTATAGATTTTTGTAACAACGGTTAGTATTTTATAATATTTAATATAATTTCAAATAAAATAAACAATATAATGGCATGATAATTGTTATGCAATCAACCAAGATGCAACCAGAAACAAGCAAGAAACCAGAAAACCACATACAATAAACACCGGATCTTTACCGTGGTTCACTTGCCCGATTTGAGCAAGCTACATCCACGTTGAACTCCGAAAAGGGAGTTCGTTGCACTATGATTAAAGAACAACCGATTAAGTCACGATTACAAAGATTGACACCCAAGAACCTAGATCAAACAACTCTGATTCAAACCCGTAATCTGCCCTAGGACTCCTCTAACCTGGAAATCCCTATAACAAGAACACTGTAGTTCTTCCCTTGATTGATTAACCCAAAACACTCAAGAAACCCACAGATTACACTGAAATCAGACCTAAAAGAAAGAACCCTAATCTCACAAAAGAAAACGAAATACGGCTCTCAACTTTTATGTTTTGATCTACTGTTACAATAAGAAACCCTAATCCTTTTATAGCGTTCACTGGAGGCTTGATCTCAACTGTTGGTATTTCCTCTGAATCAACGGTTAGGATCATCCAGGAGATGTATCAAAGAGATGTATCAAAACGACACCGTTCCATTAATTCAGTACTATGCCGTTTCAGCATTCACGCACAACAATCTCCACCTTGAATGCTAAACATTCACAGTGCAGCAAACCCAAACAGTTCCATCATTGTTCTGATCTTCACAGGTTATCTTACATGCAGCAGGTTCAAGCAGTACTTGAACTTTGCAGGCGAGACAACCTTGGTTCCCATGTCAGCAGGATTATCTTCAGTGGATACCTTTACAAGATCAATTACCCCCTGTGTTACTAAGTCTCTGACGAAGTGGAAGCGGACATCCACATGCTTGGTCCGCTCATGGTAAACTGGATTCTTACTGAGATGGATTGCACTCTGACTATCTGAGAATACAGTAACCTTGCCATCAGTCAGTTTTGCTTCGGCTAACAAACCTTGCAGCCATACAGCTTCTTTAAACACATCAGCAATAGCAATATATTCTGCTTCAATTGTTGAGAGAGCAACAATGGGCTGAAGCTGTGACTTCCAGCTAATGCAATTTCCTCCAAGGGTAAAGTAATATGAGGTGGTGGATTTCCTTGTGTCTTTGTCACCTGCAAAGTCAGAATCTACAAAACCCACCAAGTCAAGTGTATTATGCCTTTTACAAAAGTTTAAACCAACATTCAGGGTACCATTAATGTACCTTAATACTCCCTTTAAGGCAGTCTAGTGCTCACTGCCTGGATTTGCCATGAATCTGCTCAGTAAGGAAATAGAATAGGACAGGTCTGGTCTGCTACTGATCATTCCATACATCACAGATCTAACAACATTTGCATAGGGGACAGATTCCATTTTGATTATCCCAGATTCAGTTGAGGGGCATTGGCTCTTGTTTAACATAACATGGTTTGCAAGAGGCATAGACACTGGTTTTGAGTCAGCCATACCAAATTTAGACACAAGTTTTTCTAAGAATGATTTCTGCCTAATGATTAATTCATGTTTACCCCTATTCCTGATAATGTCCATTCCTAGGATTCTTTTGGCATTTCCTAGATCCTTCATGTCAAATTCTGACCTAAGCTGACCCTTTAACTCATGAATTTTTGACTTAGACTCACTCACAAGTAACATATCATCCACATACAGTAAAAGGTATACAGACAGATTATGATTCAAATTGAAATAAAAACAATTGTCATATCTACTCCTAGTGTATCCTATACTTACAATGAAATTGTCAAACCTCTTATACCACTGTCTTGGGGACTATTTCAGCCCATACAGTGATTTTGTAGGATGCACACATGGTCAGGTTTCTTGGGATCAATAAAACCTAGGGGTTGGCTCATATAAATCTCCTCTTCTAAGGTACCATGCAGAAAGGCAGTGGTAACATCCATCTGTTCTAACTCTAGGTTATAATGGGCAACAATGAAGAACATTAACCTAATGGTTTTATACTTGACTACAGGGAAAAAGACTTCATTGAAGTCTATTCCTTCACGTTGGGTATAATCCTTAGCTACTAACCTGGCTTTGTACCTAAGGGGGTCAGTAGCTGAGATTCCTTCTTTAATCTTGTACAACCATCTGCATTATATTAGTTTTTGATCCTTGGGTTTGAGAACCAGGGACCAGGTTCTGTTTACCTCAAGTGACCTCATTTCCTCTACCATTGCTTGCCTCCATTTTTCCCTTTCCTTAGAGTTCATTGCTTCTTCATATGAGTCTGGTTCTGTTCTTTGAATCCCTGTTCCTGCAAGCAAAGCAGTGTATATTAGTTCAGCATAAGAGAACCTGGCAGGGGGTCTTACCTCCCTCCTTATTCTACCTCTGGCAAGTTGATAGTGTTCTAATTGTGCATGTTGGGGCTCTGAGGCAACTGCTTCATTTTCTTCACTATCAGATCCAAGGTCCTCTGATCCTGGTTGGTTTTCAGTTGCATGTTCCTCATTGGGTTGAGGTGGTTTAGCCTGCTAACCCACAGGCTCCACCTCAATGGTTGTACTCTCAGTTGTATCCTTGGTAGGTTTAGTTGGGGTGCTTGTACCAGTGTTCTGTTCAGTGGTTTTACAAGGGAACGCCCCTTCATTAAAGACCACATCCCTAGAAATGATGATTTTTACCCCTGGTGAATTTATGTCCCAGAGCCTGTACCCCTTGGTACCATCTTGATATCCTAGGAACACACACTTGTGGATCTAGGCTCTAACTTTCCTCCCACTGTATGTGCAAAGGCTGCACACCCAAAAATTCTCAAATGGCTTAACCCAGGCTTTCTTCCTGACCATACTTCTTCAGGACATCTAAAATTTATGGCAGTAGAGGGGCTCCTATTTATCAAATAGGCTGCAGTGGACAACGCCTCTCCCTAGAAGGTATTAGGTAACCCTGAAG